GGGGGGGGGGGGGGGGCTTCCACATACATTTAGGTGAATCGTTCAGTGTGTTTATTGTTTAAACTAGGCCGTTTAAAAGAACTGAGCTGCAGAAATTAACTGAACCTCCTAACTCATTTTTGCTGCTATAAAAATATGTCTTCATTTTCTTACACACACAAGCCCTGGCACAAGAAGTGGATGTATAACTAGGCTACTCCCATGGTCTTTATAAACTTAACGGCCAATAAAAAGCATATTAAAATCATCACAATATTCACAACACTAAGTTAATTTTATATTGCTAACAAAATAATATTGATATATTGTGACTGATTCTCTTGGACTCCCTGGAATTAAGTGCTGTACAGTCTTTGCTGTCCTCTAGTGGTTAAAAGCTATTATCCCAATGCCTTTTCATACTGACTACAACAGCTGTTTCGTCACATTTAATGCAACATATACATGTGTCTACTGTTTACATAAGTTATCATATTGGAAAATACATTATGACATGAAAATATTAATTAATTTTATTCTCATTCCCATTCTAGGGAGAAGTGACTGGCTGTTTTTCTGCAGACATGTGACTGGTTCACATGAGGATGTGATGTGGAGCTTATGGCATCAGTTCAATGATGTCCCTGATTTCTTTACTGTTCTTTTCCCCTGACTTCCCGACGTCTTTAACCAACACCGTCAGAGAGGAGACAGTGGATGCTGAGGTTTCTATGTTCACGCCTAACTCCACCTCGGGAAGCGCACATCCGTACACCTCCCTCTCTGTGCTGCTGGCTACATACTCAGGAGAGAGGAGACACGATCTGTCTGCAGAGACGTCATATGATGCGCAAGCTCTCAGAAAAACATGGACCTACAGAGTTTGGGAGATCTTGAATGAACCTGGATGCAAAGACATTCTGGAAGTCAGTCACTACATTGTGTTCAAAGCATGGGCAAACTGCTGCTCTAGAGCCATGAGCATTACCAAGGTTGCTGATGTTTTGTTTTTTTCTCTGAAGGATTCCAGCATCTTGGTTGCCGCTCTTCATCTTCATACACTTACGATCTATTTGTAGATTATGCAAGTGAAGTTATACCATTGCGAAGCTATCGTCAACATACTTGAGAGTAGACGGTTCTTTATCCAAGAGGCATTTTTCAACGCACTTCTCCGTCTTTAATGTTCATATTTATGTTTATGGATGATGAACAAATTGCTTGAAGTCACTCCATTAACTTAGCATTGGTCGTTTTGCTGTGCAAATGTTTTGTTCTCGAACAGGCAACTGCTTCAGTTTGCTTCGCATTGGCCGGTTCAAGAGTGACCTGATTTTTAGTTACACGATGGGCCTTCTGACATTTTGGATCATTTTCCGTGTTGTGGATAGAAGATGAAGCATTGGCTGCACTTTGACAGGGAGTGCCCCAAAAGGCAAGAACTTTGACTTCCAGACTGGATTTACGGATTTTTCTGGCCGGTATTGACCGTTATAATGTGCGGAGTCGAGGCTATCTGCTTCTCCCAGGCTCTAGATAGTCGTTTGGGACTCGATGTGTGTGTTTGCCAGTGGAGTTACCAGACTCTACTGAACTGTGTTGTCTGGTCACGAACTGAACCGTCACACACGGATACTTTGCTGCTTGCGAATCTCATGCCAGACTGCATGAGTGAAGTACAAAATGGAGCAAACCTTGAAGGCTTAGAGCTATCTGAGTAAGATAACCCCAAAAGAGGCTTCGAGCCAGCATCCAGCTTCTAGACGACTTCTACTTTGGGTCAGTCGTCCGATCCACAGACTCACGGAGCATGAAACAAGGAAGACCTGGAAAAACGTTCCCTCACTTTTTTCTGTACGTCTGCATGGTATGATCCAGCACTCGGTAAAAGCATTAATCCAGACAGAGAGCAATGCGACACAAGCAGACGTTCGTCCTTTTCTCCCTCACTATGTGCTTTCTGTATATACTGTACAGAGGAATTATTTTAAAAAAAGGTTGTTGGATGCTATCGGATTTTCTTACTCCGTCTTTATTTCTCTTACGGTTTAGTTTTTTTTTTTTGTCTGTTAGCCTTTTTTTCTACCATTGTTGACGTAATATCAACGTTTAGCCAGTATAACGGCTTTATATTTGGAAGTGTTTTTGTTTTTTTACTACTTTTTCTACCCCTCCTCTTCAATGTCTAGTTAGTCCCACTCTGCTTTGAAACGGTTTAGAAGCACATCTTTTGCGTTCACTGAAAGTCAATTTTAATATGACGTCAGGATTTTTAATCAACACCCCCCCAATGGTGCGTTCATATGTTCATATATCAGAAGAAAACTAAGTGAAAACCTGAGTCCGGTGCTAGTTTTTCCAGTCCATCATCATGCAGTTATTGTGTGAATGTGAAACTCTCAGGAGAGCATTATTGTAATCTGAGCATTTTAAGTCATCCTGGCATGTTCATCGCTCTCGGCTGTATTCAAACTTGATTATTGAACGGCACAGGGAAGAGGACATTACTTAACGTAATTTGTTTGTAGTGAAGAGGTGGCTTTTCCCACATGTTAAACATGACAGTGTGTTTTTCATCTCCGTCGTGAGATGACTAGTAAAACAGAAACAGCAAGTCTGCCTCCAAATCTGATTTTAAATAATGAGGCTTAATGGCACAATGCATTAGTTTTATTTTGTTGTAGGAGGAGACCCGGGCCAGATCTCTTTAAGAGGTGGAGATGGAAAACTTTACACATTTTGTTCTGATCTAGGACCAGATTTCTCTAAATAAACCCTAAGCAGTAACTAATCGATATCGCAGCACTGGTCTCAGATCAGCGTCAACAGAGTTTTTTATATATAGTAATAACCTCACTTTTAGTTGTTCTGTCTTTGCGCGTTTAGCCAGTAAACCTGTGCTGTCTGGTGACTTGATTCATAACTGTTGAGGAAAAAGCGCTTGATTGTTTTAATTTATTTTTCTTTTGTTGTTACTGTTGTTTTCTCTAGTTCAAGTTTTCTGCTTGTAGAAAGATGAAACAGCCGGTTTTACGAGTTCAAACATTCGTTTATATTTGTCTCAGACGGTGCTAATATAGCCTGCCCTGTGCGATCCATGTGGGAAGAGAAGAGGGAATTTGCTTTGATTTTGTGTTCTTATTAGGCCCCTCCCACTACTTAAGCCCCACCCACCCCAAGCCCATAGAGCGCAGCGGCTCAGTGTCGTCGGTACTTGAAAGAAAGATGTTTACACCTCTTCATTTCTGTGTTTGGATATGTTTCTCTTTGTAAACCATCACTCTCTCTTTCCCCGCCTGCCTCACGGTCTCGCTGCCTCTGTCCCGCTCTCTCTTCCTCGGGATCTCTCATGTAAAGTGTAAATTGCTACATTTTTTTATACAATACTGTAACTTGCCTTTGTACATTTAGGCAGAAAATAAATCTTTTTATGAGACAATCACTCCTGTTAATCCGTGTCTTATCTGTCTGAATGAGCGGCATGTGTATTATAATTAAAACCTACTTTCTGATCAGAAATGGAAAAAATAAAGGTGATGTAAATCAGTTTGAATGGGATGGCAATACTAATTCAGAATTAAATATGCATAATTTGTTGGGTTTTGGTTTGTTTGTTTTTTTTAAATGACAATACGAACGGAATACTTTGATCATATAAAATATATTACATTTTGACCAGTGTTGGGGAGTAACTAGTTACATGTAACACAATTACATCATTTAAATATAAAACAAATGTAACTGTAATCCGGAATTTGCTTTGATTTTGTGTTCTTATTAGGCCCCTCCCACTACTTAAGCCCCACCCACCCCAAGCCCATAGAGCG